GTTTGGAATTACAAGTCATCACTTTTGATTTGAAACATCAAAAATCTCATGTAAACATTTTGCCTCAACTCGCATGGCTGTGACATGTTTGGCGCCAGACTCCTGGACCTTTCCTCAGAAGTTTGCGCTGCACTGTGTCACACTTGGTGCTCTGGGACCATGCACTGTGAAAGCATTCATGGTGAGTGAGGGTGTCCCAGCCTGGTCCTACATCAATGTGAATTTTATCCGAAAATCGGGGAAAATATGAATTATTTATATATGCATTTAGACCTCAGGAAGTGACAGCTGAAAATAGAGACCGGTGAGGATGAAAAATGATACACTCTGATTCTTTTGTGATGTACCTGGTGTTATTTTCCCGTGTTTTTCACTGGCTGAAGCCTGGAGGCAGCTGAATGGCAGCATTTATATTTTTTTCAGAAAAAGAGATTCAGACCTTTGTTTATTTCTCTGTAGAAAGTGATACGTCCCACAAATGACTGCAGAGAGATGTGCATATCGAGGACACTGAGTGTTTCAGATTGCTTTGATAAGAACAAATAGCCTACAAATCACTGGATAGGAAATGGAACATGGCACATTGTCTTAAACTATCTCCCTTAATAATAGTTTTTGCAAAACAGCAACATAAATACCTGGTAGTCATGTTGCCGAGAGGCATTCAGTGGTCCTCATTCAGATACTTTAAGGTAAAAAGTAGTTAATTAGATCTCAGAATTTAACAGGATTAACAATTAAACATATTTTTGAACAGAAGATGTTGGCAGCTTTTTGCTCACTTTTTGTTTGGAATTAGGGAAAGATTTGGAAAGCGAAATTGTTCAGAATTTTTTTTTTTTTTAAGGCATGAACAATCTGAGCTTGACCTCTTTGCTAAACATACTGAGACTCTCACATTTCCTCTGCGTGTAACTCTCGTACCCAAATTTACTGTGCCCACTCATTTCAGACAGAGAGTATAAACAGTGGGTTTCTCACCCATTCCTTTCATCCCAAGATGATAAACAGCTGAGTTTCAGCCCCTCTGTAGAACTGCAATGCTCCATGACAGATAATGCAACTATCTCTGTACTATCCCTGCTCTGGAGTTTCTCCTCTGTCACTGTCCAGTCTGTATCTGCCCAATCCCCTCGGAAATGCCTGCTTCCCACTCTAACTTGTGTCCCTTTTCCTACCAGTTTGTTTCTATAGGCACATTCAATCTCTCATAGTTTTCACTTCAACTGGGATTAACAGATCACAGAATTATTTGAAAGGAATCTAAATTTGTTTGTGACTGCCGTTTCCTAGATGAGTCATAATGGCCAAAGATTTGTACAGAAGCTAAAGACTGTATATGAGCTTAACTGTTGTATGTTATTATTGTCCTGAAGATTGGGATTGTTTCATTTCTCTGGTGTAGAGTTGTACTTTCTTGCTTCTTTTATAATTGTCTCTAGAAGTGTCAAGCACTCCTTGAAGACATGAAGATTTTTTTTTAAAATTCAAAAATGAAACACACTGAGCTTAAATTGAAAATATGCAATTTGTGTCAGTTAAATAACAAGATATCTTCTGAGCACCTGGAAGGTATTCCTAAATAGTACTAGTCAGACCAATAATTAATGAGTATTTAATATGCAGAACAAAATACTGGTCGGTAATTAAGTACCACCTTGGATCTCAAGATCTCAAAAGCACCTTCTTAGTCTAAATGAATGAAAATTTCTATAATTCTGCTCTCTTTGGAATAAATAGTTACTACCACTGCTTTCAAGAACAGGATACTTGCAGTTTATAACTTGCCCAAATATCAGACCAAGAAATAGACACAACACTGTAATATTTTATTCTAACTATGAGGAAACCAATGAGTTACAGGCATTTACAAACCTAAGCTAATCGCAGCAGTGCATGGTGGGAGGACAAGAGACAATTGATTTAAGTTGAAACAAGGGAGATCAAGGGTGGATGTGATGAGAAATTTCCTCACTGGGTGGACAGCCAAGTGGTGGAGCTGGTTGCCAGAGAGTCTGTGCATTCTTATTCCTTGAAGTTTTTCAAGACCTGACTGGATCAAGCCTTGGCTGACCTTGTAGCTGACCCTGCTTGAGCAGGAGGTTGGACTAGAGACCTCTGAGGTTGCTTCCCACCTGATTCTCATATGAACCTACAATACTACATCTGTCAAATACAATAGTTGCTCCATTAACATCTGGCAACTATACTGGTCTGTAGTTTAAGTCCTAAAACTGTAAATTCCTACTCCTGTGAGTGCATTTAATGATATCGATAGTCCCAGTGAGGTTGATAGGATTGCTGGTAAGAATAAGGCATTAAAAGATCACATCACTAGTCTGGAAACTGCTTTTCTTTTGGTTTTTTGTTCAGTGAATGGACACATCTTCCCTGAAAAGCCCACATGTCAAGGAAGTTATACAAAAGGCAAAAATATTATTCCTTTGGTAGTTGTGGTTTTACATGCTAACTTCCTGTCTTTACAAACAGGTTATTCCTCCTAATTGCCATGTGAAAAGCCATGATTAACACAGGGAAAATTAATTTACTTTATAATTGAAAGTGCTGTCAAATAAAATATGCCATAATAGAGGAAAACCTCTTCTCTGTTTTAGTAACCTTAGATATCAATAGACTGCAAATCAGACTAAGAATGTGGTCTTTGTTGTAGATGTTGCTATTATTGTTGTTCTTTTAAACCACATGATATCCCTGTGACAGAATTGTTTAAATTTTTCTATGAAACTTCACCCTTTGCCCTTTCCACAGATTTGCAACCAATGTGATGCCCTGTTTCTACAGGGATTTATTTTCACGTATCAGTATCCCCTCTGTTTTTACAGGTGGGCAAAAAAATATGTTCGTTTGACAGGGTTACTTTTGACCTACAGTAAGAAATGCCTAGTGAAAAGAGAAGTGGAAATTCAGTACTTAGAAGCTAATTTAATTTGTGGAAATGTAATTAAGCAACCAAGACAGATTTCTGTCTGTTAGAGGTTTTCAGGTGAGTTTTCAGTAGAGGACTTGAGCAGCTCTGCACTGCTACCAAGAAGGCTGAACTTTTCTCTTCTTGGCACTACTCAACTAATGGAAAATTGATAATTTAGAGTTACTTCCTCCATGCAAGAATTGCATCCCATTAAGTCTCTTATCAGGCTGCTTCATGTAGAATATGAGTTGTGTTTTGTGGAGAAGCATTTATAATTCCAGGTCAGACTGTAACTGCAAGTTTAGTAAAGAGCTTTTCAGTTAAAAAGGAACTGTTACTAGGTAATCTGCTTACACACAAACAAGAGCAGCTAGGAGCTGAATCTTTGGGAAGAGCATGTTTCTCTCAGGAATTCATGTGTATCATTTTTTGGCCACTTCTCTTACAAATCACAGACTTGCAGATAATCTGAGCAGAGTAATGCACACTGATGTTCCTTTTGAGAAATACTGAACCCAGACACCTAGAGAAGCCTAGTGCACATCCGGAATAGTGCCTTAAAATTGAAACTCAAATGTTTGAAAAATGGTAATTTCAACTTCCTCTGTTTGGGATCATTTCCTTAAAAAAAAAAAAAAAAGAATCTCTAATATCATAAAACTCAAATCTCTTTGATCTGGTTTTGGCACATTGAGTTGCAGCTTCTTGGCTTCAACATGTTCCAAATTCCAATATTATATCATATTCTGTTTCTGCTTCATTTTCATAATACACCTGGAGTCCCCTCTATTCATTCAACAGGAAGCCACTGTTCCTCATGCCTAATGAATGTTGGCAAATTTGATTATTGTTGGTTTCCTCCATGTGTTTATCAGAGGATGCTGTATTGAGGGTGCTTAGCTACTTGATACAACAGTGTACCTTTACCCTTGCTGAACAACAGTTGGTTTACTTTCAACATAAAGAGCACCAAAGTGCAGAAGGGCTCACTATTTTTAACATGCATTTAAAAAATTATATATTTTTGGACTTCTACTGTAAATATCTTACACGAACTATGCTTTTTTGAGTAATTTTTTTTTTTTTGGTCAGTGTCTGTGTATATTTTCAAAATGCATTATTTTTAGGTTTTTATTTTCAATCTGTTCTTTCCATCAGTGATATGTGGTTGGAATGCTTTCTAACATGCCTTTTCTTTTACAAGTAAAGTTAGCCTGCCAGGATCTGTGCCATTTTGAAGTTTATGAAAATTTTCATCTATGGTTGAAGGATAATTTAATGTTTGATAATTAACTGCTGACCATTTCCATTGGAAAATCTAATATTTTGCAATAAATGTCTGGTTTTGAATATTTTAATGAAATTGAGGTTTGGGGGGCAAAGAAAAGAGTTAAGAATCTTTTTGAATTAATTTTAATTGTGGTTTACTTTTAATTTACATTTAATAGCAAGCATTATGACCTTGACACAGCAGTCCTGTACTAAAGAGGTTCGTGTGTGGGCTAAATGCCTTAGCATATTATTAATTTTTTAATAAACTTTCTTTTGTACTTTTTAGTAGCTTCAGAAAGAAATATTCCGTTTGTAAATGTTTGGATGCTTTAGAAAGGGTGTAAATGTCACTGTTCCATTTCAGCAACATTTCAGAGCAATATTTACTAGAGATTTTAAGTTATTTTGCCATGGAAAGCTCTTGATGCAGAGGAATAATGATAATGTAAAAAAAAAAAAAAAATTACTCCGGGTTACACAACAGTTCATTAGAAAGGCTTGGAGCAGAACCCAGACTGCCTGATCATTATTTCAGTCTGTTATCCATTTTCCTCTACCACCTGCTTTCAGTATTTGAAAGACTGCTGCTTAAAAAGAAATTAAAAATATGTGGATTAACATTTTAAACTTATTTTTCATATATCAGAATGTATATATGTGTTTTCTAAGGTCCTTACCATGGATCTTTTTGTTTTCCTTTTTTTTTTTCTTTTTAGTTTTGCTTTATTCTTTGCTTTGTTTCATGTCTATTCAATTTTATTTATTCCATGTTTTCTTTTTGTTTTGTTTCTGTTTTTAGTTGTGTCTGGTAAGTTGAAATTTTATTGGCCATCTTCTAGTCATCGTATCACTGTGACGGGAACTTCTCCTCCCCTTCCCATCCATCCCCTTCCATGTCCTTCAACCAGTCAGCTCCCATCTTTTACTTGTTATTGACAAGACACATCGAACAGAATAAATTCTGCATGAAGTATGGGTAACTTAATGGCAAAGAGAAAGGTAATGGGTTGCAAACTTTCTGTCTGTTTTTATGTGATGTAAATGAGTCAAATCCTAATGTCTTCTTTCTTCGGTGACTGCATTAGTTGAACTTCAAAGTGTGCTATAAAAAATAATGTTTGGTTTAGAGGTCTCAAGGATAAAAGTTGTTCTCTCTTTACATGGATTATTATTTTGGCATCTTTTACAGTCTTATCATTACATGCCACATGTGTGTGACCCAAGGTGTGAAATCAAACTGGCATTAAAGAAAAGAGACAGTGAAAATGCTTCCAGTACAGTTAACGTTGAATGGAATTTAATAACAGTTTCACTTAACCCTGCTTCATTTCTTCTGACATTGAAGCTAATAAAACTTTTATTAATTTACCTTAATGGGAATAGATTTAGAATAATACATATCTGGGTAAAATGCATATATATGCATATATATTTAGAATAATATCCATACAAATGCATACTTAGAATAATATCTAGAGAAACATGTGCCTATTTACATTTTATAAATTCTACCATGCTTGCCTGTAAGACTAAATTCCCCCTTCTTTTTTGTGTTCAGTAGTCCCTGAACAGTCATCTACAAACACAAACATTCAACTGTTTCTCCAATGGTCAGAAAAAATATCTCTTTATAGCTGTATCCATCCTCAAGTACAACAAAATCTAAAACCTTATAAATCCTCTGCACTACCACAGGATTTTGGAACCTCAGTCCCATTTTGTGTGACATTGTGTCACAGTCTAGTATAGAACCAACCAAGCCCTAAATTCAACTCAGTGCTAAATTTATTCTCATTATTAGAATGTAAGAGAATAACAAAGGTGCTTCACCCTCATCTCCATTTTCCCCATCATACCTTACAACCCTGTGGCAAACCCCCAACCAGTTCACCTTCTGTTCTAAATGAAACCTGCTGTCATCTCAAAGTGTTCCCACATCTTCTTCCGAGGTACTGGTTCAGCGTTTCAGAGCTAAATGTTTTGAAGTCTGCTAATTACTGTAGGTCAATCTTACCTTCACTTTGCATAGTTTCTTATCTAAGGAAATGCTAGGGAAGGTAGCATTTGCATCCAAATGTGCATAATAGTATGTTATGCTTTAAAAATTCCTCTGAAAGATGGAGGGTGATAGGAAGAGTGTATTCTGATGTGAACTCACTAGGGAGCAGAAACACAAGGCGTGGGGAACAGATAAATGCAAATCTTGGCCCACAGGAACACTGAAAGTGATTTTTTTTTTAGAAAGGACTTGAGTGTTATTGAATTTATTCTAGATAAAGCCACAATAGCTTGATATTTGTAAAACTCATTATTATAAAGCATGTCTTTGAATTCTATATATTACACCGTTTCTAATGAAAAATCTTGTAAATACATAAATCTTAAGAAGGAAAAAAAAAAAAACAAACACCAAAAAGTGTTCAAGTTATTGAAGTCAGATACAAAACATCCCCTTTATTCTCAGTCCAAAGAAGCAGGAGAGCATAATTAGTTTTGGACAGATGATCAGAAGAAATTGGAAATGAATAAGTAAATGGGCTTTCATTGAATGCACATTTTTTAAGAAATAAGAGTTAACAGCGTATAAAACACACTAGATTTTTTTTTCTGTGCTAGCACCACCAAGATATCTAATGCTGTCATCTATGCTGATATTTTTTTTTTTAATGTGACTGACATGATTTTTTGACATTCTGTTTACCACTGGATGAAGGGGTTGTTGAAGTCTGTACAAGTCAAACAGTTTGGGCAGTGCTGGCAGTATTTATAACGTTAGGCTGAGCAGATGTTTCAAATTTGCCTTCATTTGCATATATATTTTGTTTGAACATGCTCTTGCCTATGTAAATGAGGAAGACATTTAGCTCTGCTGTTCCTTTAAATTCATTCCTTTTCAGTGTTTGAACTGAAGATTTTAAGTGGTTATAATTTGTCGAATGGTATTTCTTGGGCTTTTAAGTTTTTTTGAGTCCACGGCTACATCAAAAGTCTCTTATATAAGCACTTAAGGGCTTTTTCTCTCCTCAGTTTTCCTAAATCAAAGATGATGAGTTTTGTACATGTAAGCCTGACTTTGTGGTTACTCAGCAGTCTTTCTTGCAGTCCTTAACAAAGTGTGTCCTCTAGGCCAGTCGTCCCTCGAAGGTTTCTCCATTCTGACTTGCAGCCCTATTCGTCCTTTAAAAACCAAATTGTAACAGATTTGTTTGTGTTGGTGACTGTTGCTCTGCAAGTTGTCTCATCAAGTTGGTGGGATTTATTTCCTTGTACACACGGTCAGCAGTAAAACCACATGTTGCTCAGTTTTAATTGGGAGGTCCAGACACTAAAAAAATCATCTGAGCGATGCCAAGGCCATTAGAGACTGATGTGTCTTTGTGCTGCCTCTCCTTATTAAAGAAACTTTTCTGGTTTACACCACTTAAAGTCAGTAGGCTAATTATTCTTTTGAATTGGTTAATAGCAGTGTGATTTATTTTTTGGTTTTTTTGGTGCTTTCCTTTCAGAGCCTCCACAGTTTGTTGTAAAGCCTCGAGATCAGGTAGCTGCACTGGGGAGAACGGTGACTTTCCAGTGTGAAGCAACTGGGAACCCTCAGCCAGCCATCTTTTGGCGGAGAGAGGGAAGTCAGGTAAAACAACCTTTCTCTGCCTTCTTCCAAAGATGATTTCACATGAGAGAAAAATATTTTATTTATTCTTTTAAAGGTGTGGAAAACAGGTTTAGAGCTTGGAGTTGCTGGGTATTTATTCCTTTCTTCTAAGTCACGTGCCTTCTGTGCAATGATAACCCAACTAAGAGGGATGTCTATGTTTTGCTGTCTTCCATTTTCTCCATGAGTGTAAAAAAATAAATCTGTAAATCAGCTAGAAACATTCCATGTTTCACTGCTGTGATAATCTACTTCATCCAACAGGGAGAACTTTTAAGACATGGAGGTGGAGATGACTTCTGCTAAAGTTTGTTGGAAACCCCCAAATACTCCCAGGTTTTCAGAAAGTTTCTTTCTGGGTTTGTGGTACAGCAGTTAGTTTGCCATGTGTTTTTTAGTGTCTGGCAAACTAACCCATTTGCTGTATTGATCTGCATCACTGCATGGGTAGGACTCTAGTTATGGGCTGAGGAAATCTACTTTCCCACTCCATCAGTTGATTGACGGACCATACCTGAATAGGTCACTTTTTCTCCCAGGTTCCTTACTTGAATGGGAGGGAAAATTATTTCCAACCTCTTTGTAAAGGATCTTGAAAGCCAGTGGGTGAAACACAATATAGCACAGCAAGAGAATCACAGTTTTCTTTCAGAGTCATCTTTTGAAGGAGGGATGTGACACAAAGTATTCTTTATGGGAAGGAAAGAAGGAATATGGGATTCTGGTTTTCCTGTGAATGAAGGAATGAATGGTGCAATAGCATATGACAGGGTTCTTTGTGTTACAAAACAATAGGTCAGAGAAATTGAGAACACTTAGAGATTGGCTTCTTTACTCCATTTGCAACATTTCTGTCTGAATACCTAAGTACAACTAGACTACAAACCAGATTCAGATGATAGTCTTCAATAGTATAAGTATACCAGAATATTATTCTTATATTTTTGTGTTAGCTGGATCTTGTTTATTTATTTTCTTATTTTACCAAGTGTTGTCTAGAACATCATTTTTTTTGACTCATTTTTGGCTCTGCTGAGTGATGACTAGTTGTGATGACTGAAGGAACTGAAAGAGGTCAACAACCAGGGTTTGCTAAAACTGAAGTAGAGAATGTTGTGTCCCATTCCTTTGGATGATTTTTGGAAATGCAAAATGTAATTAAACAAGAAAGAGAGTTAAAAAATAGCCTCTGTAACCTCTAAGTATTTCCATTCACAAATTTTTCAGACAGTAGTAGAAATTTGGGTTCAGTATTTGATGTAAAGGACTTATATTATTTTGATTACCATTCTGATTTTTGACCAGTGTTGGTAAATACTATGTACTTCATGCCAAAACTATCTAAAAAGGCATAGGATTTACTTCTGTATCATAAGACTTTTCATAAAACACAAACACTATGATTAGCAAGAGCTAAAGAGCATCATGGTGCTTATAATGCCAAGGTTGTGGGTTCAGTCCCCATACAGACCATTCACTTAAGAGTTGGACTCAATGATTTTGTAGGTCCCTTCCAGCTCCAAAAATTCTGTGAACTAAGCTCAGTATCTCTTTTTTTTTTAAAAAACTTCTCCATTCTTAGGAAGGCAGATGTTAAAATACAGATAAGTAAACCAACATCTGCATTTAAGTGAAAGAAATCGAATGCCCTGGAGCAAGTTCTAAAAAAGAACATAAAAGCAAATTACTGAGGTTCACCACAGTTGCTTGCACCATTGTGGTATCTGTACATATCACATCTTCACTGGCATCTGTTTAACTTTGTGCAACATCTGACATTAACCATAGAGGATGTTAGAACATTCCCAAAAATCTTACACAATTATGTGTGCGTATCTGCACCTATTTTATCACAAAAGATCCTATAGAATACCACATTGTGGTATAGACATGCTTAAGACAGGAAGAGCCGCAAGTTTTCTGTGTAATGTAAAAAGATGGATTTGTTTAGATATATTAAAGTTAAGATTACTGATGTTTGAATTTGTTTAACCCTTTCCCCCCCCCTTTTCTTTCCTGTACATCTTGCAGAATCTGCTTTTCTCATACCAGCCCCCTCAGTCATCCAGCCGATTTTCAGTTTCCCAGACAGGAGACCTCACCATCACCAATGTCCAGAGATCTGATGTTGGGTACTATATCTGCCAGACTTTAAATGTTGCAGGAAGTATCATAACAAAAGCCTACTTGGAAGTTACAGACGGTAATCATGGATTCAGTTTATCATTTCCAAGTTTTTGTTTTTGTTTTGAAGACAGCAGTGGAGTGATGTGACACTGCTTTGAAATCTGCTTTGCATAAATGTGGATTGCATGTGTCTTTGAACATAAAAATCCTGTTTTGACCGTCTCTGTCAGGGGTTTAAAATTCTGGATATTGTGTTACACTCTATTTCCATTTTGTATTTGGTAAGTACATTCAGTTTATGGATTTTTGTCAAATCTGTTAATGTTTATCTCACTCTTTTTTACCTTCCCCCACTACATTGAGTTTACTTTCAGATTATTTGCTGACTCTTTATCCCTATTATTGTCCATTTGCTTAGCATCTCCCCTGTTTTTTAATATTCCATTTTAGCAATGAAAAAAATCTCAACCTATGTAGAGATCAGCAGGATAACATACAAATTAAAATTATTATACATCTCTTTTTAGGAGTAGTTGGGAAAAAAATTAGGATGAAAAAGCTACAGGGAGCATGACTACAAACAGTACTACATGCTAATGTGAGGCCAGTTTCTAATTATGAGATATACTCCATATTTTTAACAGCAGAGATACTCAGGGAAAATATTAATCTTAGCACTTATGGAGAAACAGGACAAGAGGAGGGAAGCTGTTGTCTGAGAATAGTTTATATAAAATAGCCCTTTGCACTACAGAAAACATAGAAATAATGCAGTACTAGAAACATGCAGTGAACCTGGAGAATAATATTTTTTATTTACACCCCCTGAACTGAGATTGGAGGAATAGGACTACATCCTTTCTGGTTTCTCACAAGTGATAAGCCACATTTTGTGATCCTCTTTTATCTAATTTTTTCACTGGGGAGAAGGCTGTGGCAAAGTGAGAGATAAACTTAAAATAGAAAATTAAGAAAATGAAAGAGTTTTTCAGCTAGTGGCCTATGTCATCTGAACTTGGAAAAAAACCACTTTAAATATATTTTCTTTACTCTATGCACTGGATTATATGTCTGGATATATGGATGTCTGATATATATGGTAGGTAAATATATGATAGATATATAGAGATGATTTTAAGGTATATGGATATCTGATATATCTGATATATGGATATCTGATGGGTAGTTGTTTTCTATAATGTCTTGGGACAGTAATTTTTTTGGTACTTTCATGAAAGCGAAGGCAGGATATACTGAATGATACCTAGGTGTTCTTAATAGAAGTTACCATCAACTTCAGTGGCACTTAAATTAACTGTGAATTTCAGTGGCATTGGATTTCTCCTCTAGAGCACAGATGGGTCAGACTCTTACCATTGGCAACTGCAAAGCTGATTACAAGCTTGTCAAAGTCAAATACAAATTTTAGGTGGGCTTATTTTTGACTGTCTCTGCAGAGAAAGATACTAATGGCCTCACAGTGCAATGCAACAGGTTGGGACAAGAACTAAAGGATAAATGAAGCAGTTGAAAACAGAGTGTCATTTGAACATGCAAATGAAATTATGGGTGTTGGAATT